TATAGCCTGTTGAATTTTTGTCTACATTACTCATTTTTCATTTAGTTCATATTTTTGTCATTAAATGTTGCTTATATTACGTAATAATATGAAATATTGACGAGGTACGATTTAGGTGACCAGTACGCATTCAGCAACTTTCCCCTAATTAGCTAAATTGGCAGATATAATAAATCTTTATTAAATTAATATTCTATGTTCTTTTTAATTAGTCAGACAGAGAAGCTAAAAATAGCATACTGAATATGGAAGAAAAGAATTACGAAAACGTCAAACGCGACTACAACGACGACGACGACGGCGACGACGACGACGACGGTGACGATAACGATGACGTCGATGACGACGATGACGACGACGACAATAATGACGATGATGATGACGATGACGACGATGACGACGATAATGGCGGCAATGGCAACAGTCAAAACAGCAACAGCATTAACGGAGTTCGTGACTGGGTAAGATTAAATAAATGAAAATAAATTATACAGAGCAAATCATACATATATAAACTCGACAAATAGGAAATAATGGCTATAACGCTCAAAGCTACTACTCAACAAAATTAAAGGATTACTTATTCCATCCTACAAAAATAGGTAAATTTCGAGATAGAATAACTTCGTCAAAAATCATCGTATCGAGATTTTTTAAAAAGCATTCTAAAGCTTGAAATCTCTACTTTTCAAACCTGTACTTTAAAAAACCGTACTCATATTTCATAAAGTTACGCCAACATAAATGAAGATGCATCAGATCTCAACATTTTTTACGAAATTTGCGAAGTTTCACGGAGCCAAGTAAAAATTGTACACAAATGCGGTTGACATCTTTCGAAAAAGTGAATCTTTACTTTCAATTTCTTTTTTCATGAAGCTTCGATTTTTTTCACTGAGTTATTCAACGTTGAAGCAAAAATGACTCTTTTTATTCAATGTTGAGTAACTCGATGAAAAAAAATCGTACCGAGGTCTATAAAAAAACAAATTGAAGGTAAATATTTACGCTTTCGATTACTGTAAATCGCATTTTTGTGTGATCTTTACTTCACGCCATAGACATTTGTAAAATTTTCACATATGACGGGTATCCATTTGTGTCCGTATAGCTCCATAAAGGATCAGTCGGATTGAAATACCAATTACCGATTTCGAAAGTAATGATTTCAACCTTTAAAATGCTTTTTTAAAAATTTCATTACGATCATTATTTACGAAGTCTTGAAGTTAAAGGATCATTTAGAATTAGCTTCAAAAAGGTCAAAATCAAGGTTTACGTATCTCTGCGAAAAATGATTACGAAGCAAAGTTTGAAATAAGCGTTTTAAAGGTTAAAACTAACTTCTGAATGCTTCAAATAATTTTTGTATGCAAAAACTTTATTATAAGTCATTATCTTTAATTTGCTTTTTTTATTCAATATTGAATAAAAATGACTCTTTTTGCTTCGACGTTGAATAACTCGATGAAAAAAAATTGTACGAAGCTTCATGAAAAAAGAAATTGAAAGTAAAGATTCACTCTTTCGAAAGATGTAAATCGCATTTGTGTACAATTTTTATTTGGCTCCGTGGAACTTCGCAAATTTCGTAAAAAATTTTGAGATCTGATGCATTTTCATTTATGTTTGTATAACTTTATGAAATATGAGTAATACGGTTTTTTAAAGTACAGGTTTGAAAAATAGAGATTTCAAGCTTTAGAATGCTTTTTTACAAATCTCAATACGATGATTTTTGACGAAGTTATTCTATCTCGAAATTTATCTATTTTTGCAGAGTGGAGCAAGTGATCCTTTAATTTTATTGAGTAATGTATATATGTACATGCATATATATACCATATTTCTAGTCAATCAGATGTTGTTTCCATATATACACTGATTATTTAGAAGAATATTATTAAAAGGCCTCGGTAGCCTAAAGGTCCGGTAGGATCCGCTCAAACGGAATGCTAGAGATCAGAGTTCGACTCCCGGCCAAAATAATATTTTTCGCAATAAATAAATTTATTTACAGATTTCCAGCATAAGATCTCTTTAATAGGTGCCTAGTCAACATCAAAAATTTAATTTTTATATTATTTTAGTAGTTTAATTGCGTCTTTAAATTCGAGAAAATTTCAGCGCGCAATTTGAATGACTACAAATATGGTATATATATATATACATGTACATACGGAGTCTATAAGGTCTGTTACCATCCCTATATTTTGGAAACGGTTCAAAATTATGAAAAATTATGAAATACGTGAAATTCGATTACTTCGAGAGGCTACTCTTTTAAGGATATCGGGGAGGTTCCCCCCTTAAGGGGGTTCCTCAGAGGGACCTCAACTTAAAAATTTCAAATAAAACCCACCTATTGTAGCATATCATATAAAAAGGCATAAAAAATGGAAGCTTTTAATTGTATGCAAAAGTTGACATACTTGTATTGACCCCCGTTCGGGAGTTACTCAGTGTTACGAAGTTTGAAAAATTCTATTTGTTCTTATCTTCAATATTTGTTTATTGCAGTAACTGTTCAAAATAGGCACCGTTTACTGATTGGCAGTAAAACAATCGATTATGAAATTCCTGTCTTGCGTTTTGAAACATTTTTCTTAGATATGTTTTTACAAGCTGACGTAATTCTCGCTTTAAGATCTTCAATGCTATTAGAGATAGTTTTGTATACTACCAATTTGAGATGGCTCCATAAAAAACGATAGTTGGGAGCCAGATCAGGTGAGCGCACTAATCATTCAATTGGGCCACGACGGCTTATCCATCGATTGGGATACATTTCTTCGAGGTATGTACATAGTGCTTCCGCAACCTATACATCAATAAGTCGAGTTGCATATCTGCCTATGGGCAGAGGCACGCATTACTGGTAATACAGAATAAGATTAGATCGCAAGTCCGGCGGGGAATAAAACAAGAGAAACTAAATTTTACTTTCTGGTATAGTGTAAAATTCAATAATATATGATATAAAATATATATTTAATAATATAAATAATATCTGACTTAATCTAACATAAATGAAATTTAATAAATATTTAAAAATATATAATAATAAATATTTTTAATTATATATTTTTAAATATTTAAAATTATTTTACTATTAAAAAAGGTAAAGGTTTTGAACAGTTACTATAATAAATCCAACACATATTGAAAGTAAGAACAAATGAATTTTTCAAATTTTGACACTGGCTATCTCCCGAACGAGTCAATGTATCAACCTTCGAATAGAACCAGAAGCTTCCTTTTTTATGCCCTTCGAAATAATATGCTACAATAGGGGGAGTTCCATTTGAAACTTTTAAGTTAAAGCTCCCCTGGGGTACCCCCCTGAGGAGGACCTCTCGACCCCCTTTAACCCTTGAACACCAAACTAGGTTACGGTAACTCAGTCCGTTTGAAAAAACGCGCGGCGTTTATGAACGGTCAGAAGTGTGGAGTGGGAGCAATGGGGGGAAAAAACTTTCTTTGCATTAATGCATTAGATTACGGAATAAAAGCAAAAGAAGACTCTAAGGTTACCGTAACCCATATGTGGTGAAATCAGGTGGCGAAAATAGTGTGGTGTTCAAGGTTTAAAAGAGTAGCCCCTCGAAATCATCGAATAGGGTAGACCGGGGAGTAAAGGTCCTCGGGGAAAAAGGTCCACCCCTTGTATCTCGGTAATAAGACATTCACTAGAAAATTCCGCCACACAGTTCGTCAACTAAGAGTGAGAATCTTATGTCACACAGTTCGTTACTGCCTAATAACCGTCAGGAAACTTGCACGGATGTGCCCATGTGTTTGAGAGCCAAAAGTAAGATATTAGCGCCGCAGTTATTTTGGTCTGAAGGGATTATTTTTGCACCTAGATAGATTAAATAAGTGTATTTATTAATCTTATTCTATTGTTTTAACAGATGATTATTAGAATTGTTATTTCTATTATAGTTTTTTAATAACAAAATGCCGCAAAGTTTACGTGACTTGTTGGGGTAAAAAGTGCTATGGTTGTTGGGGTAAAAGTGCCATATGGTATACAAGACAAAAATAAAAAGAAATCTGCCGCGAAACAACCAGCAACAAAGAAAAAGAAACAGATTAAGAAAAAAATTCTACAGGATTCCAATGATAATTCATGTAGTGCAGAAACTGAATACTTTTGCCTTGTTTGTTGTGAAGCGTATACAGATAGTGCTCCTGGTGAAGAATGGATTCAATGTAGCACTTGTAAAGGTTGGGCACGTGCTAATTGTTCTCGAAATACTTCTATATCTTATGTTTGCGTTAACTGTAATAATGATGAATAATTTTATCGCTTAATTATCTTTTTATAACAAATATTTTTTCAAATTCGTTATAATCATCCATTATTGGAAGACTGATTTAATTTTTTATTAAGATCAAAATGACTTAAAAAATCAAGTGTAAGAAGAAAGACTATTCTTATTTGTTTTCGATATAGTGCTAGTTTGTTTCTTCTTTTCAAAGTTTGTCTTAGATTAAGAAAACATTAATAATTTAATTTTCTGTTAAAATTGAAATATGTCTATTATAATTTTGTTACCAAAACCCTCTTAATAATAAAAACCCACCTTATAATAAAAAAAACTCTCTAGTATATACCTATTTTTATCTCTGAAAATAGTTCAAACGTAATATATTAGTATTGGTACTTTTTACCCCATTATGTGGAACTTCTTGCCCCACATATGGGGTAAGAAATGCCGAATGACTTCCTCTGTAAAATTTACGATATCTTTGTAATGAAGGGTATATATGCATACTTTCTTGCATGTATTTTATAGTCAAAGGACTCTAGTTTCGAAAAATATCAACACGATCTGTGTGAGTCAAATATTCTTTATTTTATAGCAAAAAATGTCAAAAGTGGCCCTTTACTCCCCGGCCTACCCTACGTATATTTCGCGATTTCATAATTTTGAACCGATTCCAAAATGTAGGGGTGGTAACAGACTTTATAGACCTGTACAGTATCATATATATTAATTCACATTGAATTATTTAAGCATTAAAAGATCTAGTTTTGATCGTTATTACTTCCTATTTCCTATTTGTGAGTTTTCAAATGTACGGTCCAATAAGATTCTTATTGTTTTAAATTATATGTATTATAAATATGCAGAAAATATTCTAAGATTGTGTCAAAAATATTACAAAATGTTTTATAAGACCGTAATTTGATTACGAATTGACAATAACAGCTATAAATGGCCAAGCTGAATCTTTAACTAAAATAATTCTGTGTGAATTTATATACTATATTATGTATACATATCCATCCCTCAAACTGCGCGCCGAATTTATTGTCAATTTTGAAACGCAATTTTAACAGGTCTAGAGAAATGATAACAAACAATATTAATGTTATAACCATCTTAAATTGACCTTAATAATCTGATGCAGATAAGCATCCTAAAAGTTGTAAATAATTATATTGCGAAAA